TGTTCATGTGTGTAATTCCACCACATCATCTGTAACTTGTGAACTGCTAAGGAAATCATTTTGTAATTTTGGATTGCCAGACATGGTTGTGTCACACAATGCTCCTTATTTTGTTTTAGGGGAAATGGAGGATTTTTTTTAGAAAAAATCGTATTAAATATGTAACACCTGCCCCCTATGTGCCTCTTTCAAATGGTCTAGCAGAGGGAGCAATGAGATCCTTGAAAGAAGGGTTAAAGCGGTTTACAGAATGTACTATTAATACAAGGCTGTATAGATTTTTATATAATCAAAGGAAAATTGTTCATTCTACTACTGGTAAATCTCCTTCTGAATTACTGTTTAATAGGCACTTTAAAGTGCACATGGAAGCAGTAAAGACAGATCCAGATAAAGATAAATCGGTAACTTGCTTGGCCAGTCAGTTGGCTCAGGGAGAGGAATTGTTTAACGAGGGGGATGCAGTATATGCAAGGAATTTTGGAATTGGGAAACCTTGGGTAGAAGGGTAAATTATAGAAGTCTTGGGATGCAGGAATTTCACCGGGAAATTTTTGGGAACATTAATTGGATAGGGTATGCTGATCAACTCATGCCAAGGTTCACAGGGAATTTTGAAGACCCTTCAGGTGTGGGTGGGGTAACTAGTGATACCCATCCTAATAATGAAGGGATAGCAGCACCTGCAGGAGACCGGGAGGCAGAACAAAGGGCAACAGAGGATAATGGGGATATAGTTAACCCTATGGACTCTGCAGTTAATAATTCAGAAAAATGTTCCCCAAAAGTAATAAGTCTTGACCCCCAGTTGAGAAAATCAGGAAGAGTCATACAACCGCCTGAGAGACTTAACCTGTAGGGGTAGAGTTTAATTAAAGGGGAGGAATGTTTGGATTAAGTACAACAGACGTTAAGTGTAGCAGGTTTTGAGCAGATAATCTTTTGTTTATAATCTTGTAAATAGTAAGTTATGTAACGTATACCTGAGACGTGATTGTTGTTGTTGAGAATAAGACAGGAGTGGAAGAAGATTGTTTCTCTTAAGGCCGAAACGTAACAACCACACACTCACCTGCCAGGTTCTTGATGAACAGCTTGAGAATCTTGTTGTCGTTCCTGGAGATGGCTCTGCAGCAGATAACCAGAAGGTTACCACAGAGAGTGAGGCCGGCCACCACCCACACGCCCACCCTCAGCACCCACCAACCCACCAGGTCGTGAGCGCTGGACACACCTGTTGGAACACCGGAAGGTATTACGTGCCTCTCCCAAGCAGCTGCTGCCTCTCCCTAATAGTTGCTGCCAGTCCTTAGCACATCCTACCTCTCCCTAACAACTCCTGACAGTTCTTAGCACATCCTGCCTCTCCCAAGCAACTCCTGACAGTTCTTAGCACATCCTGCCTTTCCCTAGCAACTCATGACAGTCCTTAGCACATCCTGTCTCTCCCTAACAACTCCTGTCAGTCCCTAGCACATCCTGCATCTCCCTAGCAACTCCTGTCAGTCCCTAGCACATCCTGTCTCTCCCTAACAACTCCTGTCAGTCCCTAGCACATCCTGCATCTCCCTAGCAACTCCTGTCAGTCCCTAGCACATCCTGCCTCTCCCTAGCAACTCCTGTCAGTCCCTAGCACATCCTGCATCTCCCTAGCAACTCCTGTCAGTCCCTAGCACATCCTGTCTCTCCCTAACAACTCCTGTCAGTCCCTAGCACATCCTGCATCTCCCTAGCAACTCCTGTCAGTCCCTAGCACATCCTGTTTCTCCCTAGCAACTCCTGTCAGTCCTTAGCACATCCTGTCTCTCCCTAGCAACTCATTTCTGTCCCTAGCACATCCTGCCTCTCCCTAGCAACTCCTGTCAGTCCTTAGCACATCCTGTCTCTCCCTAGCAACTCATTTCTGTCCCTAGCACATCCTGCCTCTCCCTAGCAACTCCTGTCAGTCCTTAGCACATCCTGCCTCTCTCTGGCAACTCCTGTCAGTCCTTAGCACATCCTGCCTCTCCCTAGCAACTCATTTCTGTCCCTAGCACATCCTGTCTCTCCCTAGCAACTCCTGTCAGTCCTTAGCACATCCTGCCTCTCCCTAGCAACTCCTGTCAGTCCCTAGCACATCCTGCCTCTCCTTAGCAACTCCTGTCAGTCCCTAGCACATCCTGCCTCTCCCTAGCAACTCCTGTCAGTCCCTAGCACATCCTGTTTCTCCCTAGCAACTCCTGTCAGTCCTTAGCACATCCTGTCTCTCCCTAGCAACTCATTTCTGTCCCTAGCACATCCTGCCTCTCCCTAGCAACTCCTGTCAGTCCCTAGCACATCCTGCCTCTCCCTAGCAACTCCTGTCAGTTCCTAACACATCCTGCTCCTCCCTTTCAGTTCCAGACCCACACTCACTTTCCAGGGCCTACTGTTATATCTAACTACTAGGGATAACATACTAGGTGTCCCTGTGGCGCAGTGGTAAAGCACTCGTCCGACGCATCGCGAGCACTTTGGCCTCGGTTCATATCTCGTCCGGTGAGGATTGACTAGGTGCCAGTCCTTAACTGTAACATCTGTTCACTCAGCAGTGAATTGGGTACCTGGTTTTTAAAGATTTCATGGGTTAACGACCTTCCCAAAACGCTGTGTGTGTTAGTGTCTTTACAACAATGTAATAAGTCTTGTATGTATATATATATATATATATATATATATATATATATATATATATATATATATATATATATATATATATATGTGTATATATATATATATATATATATACAAAAAAGATATGTATGGGATGTTGAGAATATGTATATATATGTCTTTGCTTACATGACTGATGGTTTATAAACGGTAACTGATTTGTGGATTATATTAGGATTTATTGTAATTTTCGAGGTCGGGGAATGTCTACCATATGAACATGTCAACCATATGAACATGTCAACGATATGAACATGTCTACCATATGAACATGTCAACCATATGAACATGTCTACCATATGAACATGTCAACGATATGAACAGATAATGTGGGTACTGTCCACCTGAGTTGTCAGATGAACTCAGACATCTGATAAAAAGATAAAACTGACAACTGTTTTAATTGTTGAACGACATTTGGGTAACATGATGTTCTACTAAAATGTGTTTGCTTGTTCTCTATACACATTTTGAGGTTGTATTAGACAGTCTCTCCGTCCAAGACTTGAAAATAAATTTATATGCAATCTTCTAGGTTTCAGTTTTGCTTAATAATGGTTCCAAATTAATTCCATTAAATATAATGGATCTAGGTGTTTGTTTGTTTGTTCCGTATACTTTTGTTGAGGTTAGGTTTGGTTGGGTTAATAATTTGAATTTAATACTGAAAAGGGAGCATTAAGCAAGGCTGTGTTTAGATAAGGACATGCATTCTGCAGTTTTGCCATCATGCTTATCTTAAATCTTTTACTACTCTCTGAATAAATTATTTGATACAGATAAGCATTCATTGATATACAAATATTTTTGGCACAAGTGATCAATCTTTGAAGTCACTGAAGAGTATTTGGAAAACAAAAAAATATATGAGTGGAGATTTCTTTGAGGATAAATGGTCATTGAAAATTACAAATGATTAAAACGAAGTACTGAGTTTCACAGAAAAAAAAATATTTGTCGATGAAGCCAGTCATCACCGAGTTTTTATTGTAAAATAGGTACACCTACAAGCAATCGTTTTTTAGGGACACATAGACAAAAGTACGCCTACAAGCAAGCACTAAGAAACCCAAAGTTGATTGCTCGTAGGCGTACTTTACACAACTCCAGAAGCAGCTTCCTTCTTGGTTAGCAGCTCCTGCTTGCCAGTGGCAGATCCTGCTTGCCAGTGGCAGATCCTGCTTGCCAGTGGCAGATCCTGCTTGCCAGTGGCAGATCCTGCTTGCCAGTGGCAGATCCTGCTTGCCAGTGGCAGATCCTGCTGGCCAGTGGCAGATCCTGCTTGCCAGTGGCAGCTCCAGCTTGCCCGTGGCAGCTCCTGCTTGCCCGTGGCAGCTCCTGCTTGCCAGTGGCAGCTCCAGCTTGCCCGTGGCAGCTCCTGCTTGCCAGTGGCAGCTCCAGCTTGCCCGTGGCAGCTCCTGCTTGCCAGTGGCAGCTCCTTCTGCAACCTGTCCTCGTAAAAAGAACGTCGCTTTTGGCCGTTTCCCAGTATGGCCGAATTTGAACGTAATTTGAAAATGAAAAAAATGAAAATAAATTTGGGATTTTTTTTCAACAACAGTAAGTTAAGGGTCCTCTGATAGGTTAGGTGGGCAGGAAATTCTCATAAAGTTTCAAAGCGTTATGAAAAACGTTAATTTAAAGTGTCCTCTTATAACCTCTGCGCGTACGCCGGACGACTCAAACAGAAAACGTAACAGAACGTCACTTTTGTGAGTCGATTTCATTTCAAATTACGTCGAAATTTAGCCATATCGCGCATACGAGCCAAAAGTGACGTTATTTTTTATGAGGACGGGTTGCCTACTTGCCGGTGGCAGTTCCTGCTTGCCGGTGGCAGCACCTGCTTGCCAGTGGGACCTCCTGCTTGCCGGTGGCAGCACCTGCTTGCCAGTGGGACCTCCTGCTTGCCGGTGGCAGCACCTGCTTGCCAGTGGGACCTCCTGCTTGCCGGTGGCAGCTCCTGCTTGCCAGTGGGACCTCCTGCTTGCCGGTGGCAGCACCTGCTTGCCAGTGGGACCTCCTGCTTGCCGGTGGCAGCACCTGCTTGCCAGTGGGACCTCCTGATTGCCGGTGGCAGCTCCTGCTTCTCAGGCATCTCTATAACAAATGTTCCGTATCACCCATCAACATGTCTTCATCAAAGTACCAGACATATTGTGAGGAGACAACTCACCGTCAAAGTTGGGGAGACACTTGGGCACCGCCGGGACGTAGCTGCAGTACCGGAAGGTCTGGAAATACCTGGAAAATATACATTTGTATTATTACTGGGGATAAATACTGTCACGGTGAGTCTGACTATAGTAATGGTGAGTCTGACTAGAGTAATGGTGAGTCTGACTATAGTAATGGTGAGTCTGACTATAGTAATGGTGAGTCTGACTACAGTAATGGTGAGTCTGACTAGAGTAATGGTGAGTCTGACTTCAATAATGATGAGTCTGACTACAGTAATGATGAGTCTGACTATAGTAATGGTGAGTCTGACTACAGTAATGGTGAGTCTGACTACAGTAATGATGAGTCTGACTTCAATAATGATGAGTCTGACTACAGTAATGATGAGTCTGACTACAGTAATGATGAGTCTGACTATAGTAATGGTGAGTCTGACTATAGTAATGATGAGTCTGACTACAGTAATGATGAGTCTGACTATAGTAATGGTGAGTCTGACTATAGTAATGATGAGTCTGACTACAGTAATGATGAGTCTGACTATAGTAATGGTGAGTCTGACTACAGTAATGATGAGTCTGACTACAGTAATGATGAGTCTGACTATAGTAATGGTGAGTCTGACTATAGTAATGGTGAGTCTGACTTCAATAATGATGAGTCTGACTACAGTAATGATGAGTCTGACTATAGTAATGGTGAGTCTGACTACAGTAATGGTGAGTCTGACTACAGTAATGATGAGTCTGACTTCAATAATGATGAGTCTGACTACAGTAATGATGAGTCTGACTACAGTAATGATGAGTCTGACTATAGTAATGGTGAGTCTGACTATAGTAATGATGAGTCTGACTACAGTAATGATGAGTCTGACTACAGTAATGATGAGTCTGACTATAGTAATGGTGAGTCTGACTATAGTAATGATGAGTCTGACTACAGTAATGATGAGTCTGACTTCAATAATGATGAGTCTGACTACAGTAATGATGAGTCTGACTACAGTAATGATGAGTCTGACTACAGTAATGATGAGTCTGACTACAGTAATGGTGAGTCTGACTTCAATAATGATGAGTCTGACTACAGTAATGATGAGTCTGACTATAGTAATGGTGAGTCTGACTTCAATAATGATGAGTCTGACTACAGTAATGATGAGTCTGACTATAGTAATGGTGAGTCTGACTACAGTAATGATGAGTCTGACTACAGTAATGATGAGTCTGACTACAGTAATGGTGAGTCTGACTACAGTAATGATGAGTCTGACTTCAATAATGATGAGTCTGACTACAGTAATGATGAGTCTGACTATAGTAATGGTGAGTCTGACTTCAATAATGATGAGTCTGACTACAGTAATGATGAGTCTGACTATAGTAATGGTGAGTCTGACTATAGTAATGATGAGTCTGACTACAGTAATGATGAGTCTGACTTCAATAATGATGAGTCTGAAAACAGAAATGATGAGTCTGAAAACAGTAATGATGAGTCTGACTACAGTAATGATGAGTCTGACTACAGTAATGGTGAGTCTGACTTCAATAATGATGAGTCTGACTATAGTAATGGTGAGTCTGACTATAGTAATGATGAGTCTGACTACAGTAATGATGAGTCTGACTTCAATAATGATGAGTCTGACTACAGTAATGATGAGTCTGACTATAGTAATGGTGAGTCTGACTATAGTAATGATGAGTCTGACTACAGTAATGATGAGTCTGACTTCAATAATGATGAGTCTGAAAACAGAAATGATGAGTCTGAAAACAGTAATGATGAGTCTGACTACAGTAATGATGAGTCTGAAAACAGTAATGGTGAGTCTGACTACTGTGATGGTGAGTCTGACTGCAGTAATGATGAGTCTGACTACAGTAATGATGAGTCTGACTTCAATAATGATGAGTCTGACTACAGTAATGATGAGTCTGACTATAGTAATGGTGAGTCTGACTACAGTAATGATGAGTCTGACTACAGTAATGATGAGTCTGACTTCAATAATGATGAGTCTGACTACAGTAATGATGAGTCTGACTATAGTAATGGTGAGTCTGACTATAGTAATGATGAGTCTGACTACAGTAATGATGAGTCTGACTTCAATAATGATGAGTCTGAAAACAGAAATGATGAGTCTGAAAACAGTAATGATGAGTCTGACTACAGTAATGATGAGTCTGAAAACAGTAATGGTGAGTCTGACTACTGTGATGGTGAGTCTGACTGCAGTAATGATGAGTCTGACTACTGTGATGGTGAGTCTGACTACAGTAATGATGAGTCTGACTACTGTGATGGTGAGTCTGACTAAAGTAATGATGAGTGATTACAGTACTGATGAGTGTGACTACTGTTATGGTGAGTCTGAATACTGTGATGGTGAGTCTGACTACAGTAATGATGAGCCTGAAAACAGTAATGATGAGTCTGACTACTATGATGGTGAGTTTGACTACAGTAATGATTAGTTTGACTGCAGTACTGATGAGTCTGACTACTGTGATGGTGAGTCTGACTAAAGTAATGATGAGTGATTACAGTACTGATGAGTGTGACTACTGTTATGGTGAGTCTGAATACTGTGATGGTGAGTCTGAATACAGTAATGATGAGTCTGACTACTGTTATGGTGAGTCTGACTACAGTACTGAAGAGTCTGACTACAGTAATGATGAGTCTGACTACTGTTATGGTGAGTCTGACTACAGTAATGATGAGTCTGACTACAGTAATGATGAGTCTGATTACAGTACTGATGAGTCTGACTACTGTTACGGTGAGTCTGACTACTATGATGGTGAGTCTGACTACTATGATGGTGAGTCTGACTACAGTACTGATGAGTCTGACTGCTGTGATGGTGAGTCTGACTTCAATAATAATGAGTCTGACTACAGTAAAAGTGAATCAGACTACAGTGATGGTGAGTCTGACTACAGTAATAATGAGTCTGACTACAGTAGTGATGAGCTTGACTACAGTTATGGTGAGTCTGACTACTGTGATGGTGAGTCTGACTACTGTGATGGTGAGTCTGACTACTGTGATGGTGAGTCTGACTACTGTGATGGTGAGTCTGACTACTGTGATGGTGAGTCTGACTACGGTAATGACTATAGTCCATGCATACTAGACTAGATGTCTAGTCCATGATTTATTAAAAAAAAAACATTTTCATCACAGAGCACAACATGTATACATAATATACAACAAGTTTACAATATTCAGACACTCACTTATTATAAGTAATTATGATGAGAATTATTTTCATTAATATTATTTATCGAGGCTCCAGCAGTTGCCAAATAACAAAATATAACTAACAGAAAGGGTGTATTTAAGGTTTAATTAGAAACAATTTTTAACACAACATGGCCAAATGAAGGGTTCTTTAACTACAAAGTTTTCACGATGTTTCATGAGGATAAACCTATGTTCCACGTTATTAGCCCGAGGCTTAGTACACCGTGTATTCTCCTAGTTGTGTTCACCTAGTTGTGCTTGCGGGGGTTGACCTCCCCACAAGCACAACATATATAATATATTATATATATATATATATATATATATATATATATATATATATATATATATATATATATATATATATATATATATATATATATATATATATATATATATATATATATATTATATATATATGTTGTACCTAGTAGCCAGAACGTCGTACTCGGCCTGCTATGCAAGGCCCGATTTGCCTAATAAACCAAGTTTTCATGAATTAGTATATTTTCTCTATTTTTTTCTTATGAAATGATAAAGCTACCCATTTTCATTATGTATGAGGTCAATTTTTTCTATTGAAGTTAAAATTAACGTAGATATATGACCGAACCTAACCAACCCTCCCTAACCTAACCTAACCTATCTTTATAGGTTAGGTTAGGTTGGGTAGCCGAAAAAGTTAGGTTAGGTCAGGTTAGGTAGGTTAGGTAGTCGAAAAACAATTATTTCATGAAAACTTGGCTTGTTAGGCAAATCGGGCCCTGCATAGTAGGCCTACTATGCAAGGCCCGATTTGCTTAATAGGCAGAGTGATTTTCTTTATTTTCAATAAATTGTTTCCTATTTGTTTATTTGAATTATTATTATTATATAATATTAGGGACATAAATTATTGACTTAACTATGTTAGATTAGGTTAAAATAGGTTAGGTTAGGTTAGGTAGGGTTGGGTAGGTTTACACCTATATATCTACATTAGGTTTAACTCAATATAAAAAAAATAGTTCTTTCACAATGAAATAGATAGATTTATCATTTCATAACAAAAAAGGATTTTTTTATTAAATTCAAGAAAACTTGGCTTAATAGGCAAATCGTGTCTTGCATAGTAGGCCGAGTAGTGCGTTCTGGCTACTAGGTACAACATATATATATATATATATATATATATATATATATATATATATATATATATATATATATATATATATATATATATATATATATATATATGTCGTACCTAGTAGCCAGAACTCACTTTTTGGCCTACTATTCAAGGCCCGATTTGCCTAATAAGCCAAGTTTTCCTGAATTAAAATATTTATTCTAATTTTTTTCTTATGAAATGATAAAGCTACCCATTTCATTATGTATGAGGTCAATTTGTTTTTATTGGAGTTAAAATTAACGTAGATATATGACCAAACCTAACCAACCCTACCTAACCTAACCTAACCTATCTTTATAGGTTAGGTTTGGTTAGGTAGCCGAAAAAGTTAGGTTAGGTTAGGTTAGGTAGGTTAGGTAGTCGAAAAACAATTAATTCATGAAAACTTGGCTTATTAGGCAAATCGGGCCTTGAATAGTAGGCCAAAATGTGAGTTCTGGCTACTAGGTACGACATATATATATATATATATATATATATATATATATATATATATATATATATATATATATATATATATATATGTCGTACCTAGTAGCCAGAATGCACTTCTCGGCCTACTATGCAAGGCCCAATTTGCCTAATAAGCCAAGTTTTCATGAATAAATTGTTTTTCGACTACCTAACCTACCTAACCTAACCTAACCTAACTTTTTCAGCTACCTAAGCTACCCTAACCTATAGAGATAGGTTAGGTTAGGTTAGGTAGGGTTGGTTAGGTTCGGTCATATATCTAAGTTAATTTTAACTCCAATAAAATAAAATTGACCTCATACATAATGAAATGGGTAGCTTTATCATTTCATCAGAAAAGAATTAGAGAAAATATAATAATTAAGGAAAACTTGGCTTATTAGACAAATCGGGCCTTGCATAGTAGGCCGAGAAGTGCATTCTGGCTACTAGGTACGACATATATATATATATATATATATATATATATATATATATATATATATATATATATATACATATATATATATATATATATATATATACATATATATATATATATATATATATATATATATATATATATATATATATATATATATATATATATATGCGAACAAGCCTGAATGGTTCCCACGACAATATGCAACTGAAAACTCACACCCCAGAAGTGACTCGAACCCATACTCCCAGGAGCAACGCAACTGGTATGTACAAGACGCCTTAATTCACTTGACCATCACGACCGGACATAATGAGGTGATAGCCGAGGCTATTTGAACCACCCCACCGCCGGCACTCGGATAGTAATCTTGGGCATAGCATTTTACCAAATCACCTCATTCTTTGGGGCACACGTGAGGAACACAAATGCGAACAAGCCTGAATGGTCCCTAGGTTCGAGTCACTTCTGGGGTGTGAGTTTTCAGTTGCATATTGTCCTAGGGACCATTCAGGCTTGTTCGCATTTGTGTTCCTCACATGTGCCCCAAAGAATGAGGTGATTTGGTAAAATGCTATGCCCAAGATTACTATCCGAGTGCCGGCGGTGGGGTGGTTCAAATAGCCTCGGCTATCACCTCATTATGTCCGGTCGTGATGGTCAAGTGGATTAAGGCGTCTTGTACATACCAGTTGCGTTGCTCCTGGGAGTATGGGTTCGAGTCACTTCTGGGGTGTGAGTTTTCAGTTGCATATTGTCCTGGGGACCATTCAGGCTTGTTCGCATATATATATATATATATATATATATATATATATATATATATATATATATATATATGTATATATATATATATATATATATATATATGTATATATATATATATATATATATATATATATATATATATATATATATATATATATATATATATATATATATATATATATATATATGACAGTGTCAGACCACGGAAACAAATTGAAACAGGAATTTCCTTAAGTACTTTCGTATATTAATACATCTTCAGAAGGAGTCCCTTCTGAAGACTCCTTCTGAAGATGTATTAATACACGAAAGTACTTAAGGAAATTCCTGTTTCAATTTTCTTCCGTGGTCTGACACTGTCACATTTTTAATCACGTGTTTATTTTCTTGATACACACACACACGCACACACACACACACACACACACACACACACACACACACACACACACACACACACAGCTGTTGGGCCGGATGGAATCTCGCCATGGGTATTGAAAGAGTGTGCAGGAGCACTTTGCCTACCACTCTCCATAGTGTATAGTAGGTCACTGGAAACGGGGGACCTACCAGAAATATGGAAGACTGCTAATGTAGTACCAATATACAAAAAGGGTGACAGACAAGAGGCACTGAACTACAGGCCAGTGTCCTTAACTTGTATACCATGCAAGGTGATGGAGAAGATTGTGAGAAAAAACCTAGTAACACATCTGGAGAGAAGAGACTTCGTGACAGCCCATCAACATGGGTTCAGGGAGGGTAAATCTTGCCTTACAGGCTTGATAGAATTCTACGATCAGGTGACAAAGATTAAACAAGAAAGAGAAGGGTGGGCGGACTGCATTTTTTTGGACTGTCGGAAAGCCTTTGACACAGTACCCCATAAAAGGTTGATGCATAAGCTGGAGAAACAGGCAGGAGTAACTGGTAGGGCGCTTCAGTGGATAAGGGAGTACCTAAACAATAGGAAGCAGAGAGTTACAGTGTGGGGTGAGACCTCAGACTGGCGTGAAGTCACCAGTGGAGTCCCACCGGGCTCTGTACTTGGACCTATCCTGTTTCTGATATACGTAAATGATCTCCCAGAGCGTATATACTCAATCCTCTCAATGTTTGCTGACGACGCCAAAATTATGAGAAGGATTAAGACAGAGGAGGACAGCTTGAGGCTTCAAGAAGACCTGGACAAGCTGCAGGAATAGTCGAACAAATGGCTGTTAGATTTTAATCC